AATGGCAGTAGCAGACTCAAGGAGGTAACCTCAAGCGACGTACGTAGCAATTGAGTAGCCTTTGGCGTAGACGTGATGTTGCACTGAAGTTGAAGGGTCGCACATATTGTGGCATTGTTCGCTCAGTTCTTCTTTACGGTTGTAAGATTTTAAGTGTAAAAATACCCATTGAGTAGAGGTTTTCAGACACCAGTGATTAAGCAGTCTTCTACAGGCTGGGTTGAGCGAGCGTATAAGTGCCACCGTGTTTTGAAGAAGGTTTTGATAGAACATTCCTTTTCTCACCGAATTCGTATGAATAAGCTTCATTATTGCGATTGCCCAGCGGTCGTCTAACACACCGAGCCGTTTTTGCAGTTACTGACCACGGTTCGAAAAAGTTATGTGGGGGTCAACAGATGACGTGCAGAAGAGACACGCAGAAATGCACACAGAGAGTACGTAGAGTATATGAATCTCGTCTTCAAGGTTGGGGTCTGAAAGACTCCGTAACTGTTTGGTTGAAAACATTGAGGGATGTGGCCACGAACTGATAGCAGAGGCATTCTCTTTGCCACTTGATCTGTTCGCAATGGATGACAATGTGTGTACGCGCAGTTGGACTGTGTACTCTGTGTGTTCACCATTGACGTTTACATTTGCTCCTCCGTGAAAACAGACTCATTCAGTATCACCCTCACACGCTCGTAATCTGTGTATATTATGGGCTTCTCAGAGATCCACGAAGTTCGCTGCGCAGTACCTCACTGTAAGAGGATATTGATGAGGCGACAGAATAATTTGCCCAAGTTGTTGATCGAATTGCATGCAGTGCTGACGAGTCTCACAACGACAGCGCAGCTTTGTAGTGTTCTTTATCGGATATCACAAACGAATAAGTTTGCCTGCAATTTTTACCCCGGCACTGTGTCCAGGTTTCACTTTCCCCGTTAGTTGCTTCATTTGAACTGACAGCAATGGAAGGCAACTAAAACCACAGCAAGGAAGTGCAGAACTGATGGTTGTGGTAATCAAATGCTGTCCTTAAAACGGTTGACAGGTCGAGTACATTGGAGGTTAGCGATCATATGCCTGGTTTATGTAATAAATCTAAAAGGTAGACGCTCTAACGATTTCATTATTTCCAACCAACCGTGCACCATCTTGTATTCTCGCGAAGATACGAAAATTATACCCGCTTAACTTGAATCAGAACGGAAAAGGGTAGGATTTTTAGGGAACTCGATTTGACATTCGATGTATTTTGGATGAAATCGGTATCTACGATTGTTGTTTAGCGTGCTGAACAATTACAGGATACAGATATCTACATAAAAAACAACAATCTGATTCAGTCAAATTTCAGTCCAGTTTTCTGTCGCTTTCCAACCACGGGGAACAATGTGACGTTTGTCAGCATGGGCTGTAAGCACGTCAGGTGGCTGAACATATTAGCGGATGTGAGGTCTGAAGAAAAAATTCACCACGGCTGAACCTGCTCGGGTCAACTACAGAATGGTGATTTGAGAAATAGACACAGAAGAAAAGAGGCATAAGGAACTGGAGAACATGGAACATGTACACAAAAAGGCAGCGTGAAAATTTGAAATTCGGGTCGTGGTGGATAGTCGAACGTGTAGAGTGATCCTGGACACTGATTACAGAACCTATGACTGAAAGCAAGCACAACCACACCAAAAACATACTAAAAAAACCACGTTTCAGGCAAGAGATTTAGTACACAGACGCCTCGTTTATCGACCAGTAACACCATTATAGGAAACAAACGGAGGAACCTGCCGCTGTCTAAATGTCTAAAATCGTTATCTATCTGCATTTGAAAAGCCTCATTTAGTTACCTGGGAGTGGGACCACTGAACCGAAATAAAGAAAGCTCGACAGGATGCAAAGTACACCTAACAATCCAGCTATTATCGTGTTATGAAAAGCCAAAGGAGAGTGAGAGGCGACAAGTTCGAATTTTTACTGAATTTGATTTCATGTATATGCGCAATTAAAAATGGGGAAAATCACCGACTACTCCGCAGTGAATTAAATTTATTCACATCTGAATAGAATAAAGATTTTTTGTCAAACACTTTGATATAATGAGCAGATAAGGAGTGAATTTGGCAGTTACGAGGCCCCTAATCTGAGCCTTGGGACTCGGATGTATGAACCACTAAAGTTATCCGTATGAAACAAGGCCCCAAAAAGGTGCGTACGAACAGATATCGGTGGCGTCGCAGGGTTCGAATCTTGGATTGAATAGGCAGGTGCGTACCACTGACAGCGACCAGAACCACCTGACTTTGACCATGGGTTTTAACAAAGTACTTAAGGATGGATTGTGATAGGAATTTTCAACTCCTGTGGTGATTCTGTTGAAATAGATCTAATCGAATAAATGGTCGCCGAAGACCAGTTGCACTATGTCAACGAAGTGTAACCATCTATGTTGAATACACCAACAGTTTCAACAGGACAGTTTTGGTTCTTTTCAATGACTTGGATATGCACCAATAGTCTCTGAATGTTTTCTACCACAACCGTACCTCTTGTCTGCACATACGGGTAAAAAATTTCCCAATCCCCAATGCATAAAACCGACGCCATGACTATTCCAGTTTCTAAATTCCCGAAACTTCGCCTTACGAGTCCAGAATGGACAAATTTCGTATTGGTAAGCGACCTCTGTTATTATCTCTAAGACCTATGGTCACGCCAAAGCTCATAATCATAATATTGATTAATTTTGGATGAAGTCTTGTAGCGGTGCTCAGCAATCTGTCTTCAGACCTTCGCCCAGGTAATTGGAGTTTACACTACGCTAATCTTCTTTCTTCCCACATAGAAAGTACCAGGGGTTTCGAATTTATGTACTGTTAAAACGACAGTTGCATGTTTCACAGAAGTCTCAGATTTATGTTGGGGGGAAATGTGAGAAGAACAATCCTCCTTGGGCATTTGAAATTTAAACTGTGCCGATTAACACGGCCAAGAAGAATACCTACTGAAACAGTGAAACGGTATGCAGCGCTAGACCAGGAGACAAAAGATCGTTATCCCCGGTTGAAAGCGGGTTTACTTCAGCGGCGGTCTTTCATCGTCGAACACTGAGGTCGACAGCTAGTTAAAACAACGAAATGACAAGAGCAAGTTGACTGTGGCAAACTATTTATCATGATTAGTGTTGTCTTATCAAGTTATCTATTTCTAATGTTGCCTGCATCGTCTGTAAACGGCTTGAGAATGACTTACCATTGTTTCGCTAAATTTTATGTTTCAAATATTGAACTTCTGTCTTACACTCCCAGCATCCGCGTTGAACGTCTTTCTACTGAACGACTTTGGTTAGCAAGCTCTCTGAACTTGTAAGCACTGATGAAATCTACTCAAACTATCTTGGCCTAACATCAGTGTGATATCTTTGAGCAGGGTGGAGGATTGACTGACGCCTCTTTTGGCTCTGGTCGCCAGCGGTTCGATAAAGCGTGTTATCAACTCTAACTGGTTGCTAGCTAACTAATGAAGGTGTCCTCAGTCGCCCAAATTACCAGATAGGATAACATTGACCATATGCTCCAATAAGACAATGAGTGTTAACAATTCCAATACAGACAAATACTCATAGGAATCAATCAAAGAGCTATGTTTTATTCCGTAGAAAAACCAGAATAGTACGGATATACGCATGACAGCAGTTCTGCTGTAATTCGATTAAAAGAAATTTGCCATTCACTTATCAATCAAGATAAGGAGTAACCAGAAAAGCAAAAAACGAGAATCACTGAATCTGAAAGTGAGCCTTTCACTACTATTACTTTCACCATAGGTATGACCATCGTTCAGTGCACGGGGTAGATTAGGATTGAAAAAGAAACTCCACAGCATTCATGCTTATTTCACAGTAGCAATCATTCACTCCGTTTGCATCGATACACAGAGATTTTCAGCAGTCGACCTTTTGTCATCTTTATTTGTCCAGCAGTCAGTTTCATGCATCGCACGAATCAATGACAATGGTGAAACCAGTTACCGTTATTGATTAACCAAATCAGTAAAAAGTGATAATCAACGACGAATTTTCAAATCAGAGGTGGAATAAGTTCAGCAGAAGCACCATTGCTTGGATTGATAGATAAGACAAATACGATCACTCAACTTTTTCATTCACATGAAATGGCACCTATAACTTTCAAATTTAATGACTAATTATTATTCTTTGTAGTATATGTTAACTAATTTAATTTTGGATGGTATAATCGATTTTCGGGAAGGAAGCAGTGGTCAGTTTACTAAATGGCAACGAATGGAAGAAGATGAGACGGTAAAGTGGCAATGCACGGATTTGAATACACGACGTCCGGGGTGGGGGTGGGCGATGACCAACATCACGTGATCACAGTCGCAATAGCAGGCGACGTAACCATTTTCACAGACCCTTGTACGTAGCTCATGGGTCAAATCGTTGAGAAATGGTAGGAGATCAGTTCATACTACTGAAAAAATGACCGTAACATCAAAAACCTTTTGAGTGGTTTGACGGAGTTATTTTACGGTATCGCACTTTACATTGTCAACAGGTCAATTATCGTTTTGAACAAAATGTACTGCTATAACAGAATAAAATTATGTAATTATAATTATTATTTAATTAGTCTCGAACTGAATCCAAAGTATTAGGGCTACATGATTATTACCTGGAAGACTGAGAATTCAGGAGCGAGAGCTTGTCCAGCTGTGACATATCGGGCGGAACTTTGGAGGAAAAACAAGATAAAGACGGAGACAATTAAGTTGAGCCAAACCCACTTTTTTGCACTAATCCAAAGCGAAATAATCCCGCGTCAGAACATTGCTATTTGACGCACAGCTGGCCAACGGAGAGATAAATCATGCACAATTCACAGATAGGTTTTTTAACAGTTGTAGCAATCGTGACATTTCCACAAGCTTTGCTACTCACAGTCTTACAAAACGGTTCAAATAGGGAATTTTCGCAGACATGTACGAACAACTCACCTAGATTGAATTGGAGGCCCACATTGGGCACCAGCAACAGCCGGAGTGGCAATCGTAGGGGTGGAAAGACCAGCTGCATTCATCGAGTGAGGAATTTGGCACGAATGAGACGGGATCGAATCCGGCTCCATAGCTTGTGTGATTACAGTGTTTGTGGGATTATGTGTCCCAACTCGTTTTGAGCGTCCTAATAGTGTATCCGCGGCGGAACCGGTCGAATATAAGGTAGAGACCAGATCGATTGCACCGATTTCTGCCTCTCGTGGTACAATTTGCTCGTTTGTATGAATCAGAGCAACCGCGAAACCGCGAGAATGAGCTTGCCGAATCAGATCCAGTTGACTGCCCGTCTTTAGACCATGCTGTGGGTGTAACAACAATCGATTGGCCCAAACCCCTGCATAGGACACACCACCGGCTTGCAGTACAATCAGAACAGGTCCACGATGTGTGAACAAGTGACGAGAGTGAAGAACCCGCATACACATTGTGGGATGACCGGGAATCTACAGTATCCAAGCAAGTGGGGAAATGTGCGTTATTAGGTGGTGGAGAAGTAGTTGCATACTTCTGATTCATTCACAAAATGCTACTACTGGAGCTTCATTCACCGTACTTGGTCAATTTTCGATCAACTTGATGCGGATTTGTTACGGTTCATTTACCAAACATATAGCGAACAACCAGCTTTCGGGAAGAAATCCGTGTTGAAACCAAAACTGTCAAATACAGTGGAGACCTTTGTGGGACAGTGGTGTCCGAGCACCGGAGCCATGTTGTATGCATACAAATTCGTTTACGGTCGTGACCATCAATGGGTTTCACCGTCTCTGGCACCTAATCAAGTGTCTCTAATAACTTGCATTCGCAGTCATTGAGGCGAAAATCTTCCTCGACAGCTTCTCATGGCGAGAGGACGGAGTGGTAAGCCTAACTCCGGGGCTAGAACGAGCAACTGATCGGTTCAGAGGATTAAAAAAACCTTGACTTCAAACCAACTATGATGAGGTGTATAAACTGTTCCAAGGACCAAAGGATGAAGATTCGATCAGTACCTGAATTGGATGATGAAATCTAATGCGCACATGACAGTTTTTTCCGATGATCTGTGATCTAACTGTGGTTAGACACAGGTTCCGGTGGAATTCCCATTAGTAGCAGTATATCAATGCCTTGTAGAGTGCACTATTATCCCGAAGCAGCGAAAGGCAGCCCCTCAATAGTACTTAGTAGTTTAGGTTCAACCACGGAGTATTAAGACAACCAACAACACTACAGTAAAATGAACTTCACCAATTTCATATCAACGCCCGAGTATCAGTAGTCGGGGTTTGTTTCATGCACAATGTTAACAGCTGGTTTGTATCTAGCTAATATCTGCATGGACCCTTTGAAAGGTAATCACATGCAGTGCGATGTGACTGATATTTAGGAGCGTGTCGTTCTTAGTTTTTATCTCTCATCTCAAGTTGTATTGGGGAAATCCGCAGACCATGGTCTATTTTTATGAAGCATATCACCAATCTCGTTCTCAATCCGGTGAGAACAGTTTTGGTTATTACCTTTTGGTTGCTGTATTACTCTCATTGTATTTAACTATCCATTAGATAGATCCCGAGATCCACAGTCGAGAAGAATATGAGGCCTTTCTTTCCAAGTCCCCTGATAAAGGTTTCTACCTCACCATGCCGGGTCTTAGCTTGACCACCCTTGACACTACTGCCTTTCTTATTTGGTGAAATGCGTATTAATTGCTCCTTGTCTCTTCATTTATGAAAATCAGTCCAGTACAGTTTTTACAACCATCAACCATGCACATTCGTGCCCCGGTTTTGGTTGCAGCTTCAAGGCCGTTCATTTGAATGAAGAGAAAAAGTTGGAATAGTCGAATCAGTGAAAAAGAGGCTTCACTTAAAATTAAAAAAATCCAAAGGTTAGAACAGAAAGCATAATGATTAGATGCACGAGCGCTACTATTTACGACATTCAGCCATATTACTCAGCATCTCCAGCCGTTGTTTACGTTATCCGCGATACCCCCCTCTAGGAAGTCTAAGCGGCATTCTGGTCAGGGTTTTAATACCTTCCCTCCCCTCTGAGTTTGACCGCCCGTGACCTTTATCCGTGCACTGTCCGCCTCGAAAAACAACGCGCGCTGTGCCAATCTATTTGCTGACAAGCGTAACTCATGTTCCAACCAGTGGAGGGTTGACCGCGAATACCTAAAAGTCTGTGCTTAACCTCAGCATTACCTCTCCGGTTATCCCACCAGACTCGTGCAATGCGACCTAGAAAGCGGTGTCTGAACACCGACAATCTATTTTTATCCTGCCCCTTAATGGCCAAATCTTTGCACAGCATAACAGAACTAGTCGAACTGGTGCAGCATACACCCAATCATTCACGGATTGCCGCATGTCGCGACAACGTCACACGTGTCAAGTTGGCAAATACCAATCGAGCCTTCTATATGCAAGTCTAAATTTTATCCGTGACCAGTGCAAAACGCATAACGAACATGCCTACGCTAGCACTCAAACTATCCAGAAATTCTTACAACTTACATTCATCTTCACTTAGTAGTGCAATGTGGTCTGCATATTCCAGACCAGATAGCCTGCCATCCGGGAGTAAATCGATGCCAAAATCCTAGCACGAGGATAGGACAGTTTCCATACTCAAATCTATAACAAAGTTCCGTAGTGAACTCGGGTGAAAAAGAGCCTCAAGCTCGAACTCGGCTTTGACTCTTAGAATAAAGATCGCCAAATGGAAATTAAATTCTCGGGCACATCCTTCACTGAGAGGTAATGCCAGAAAACAGAGCGGTCGACGGAGTCGAAAACCGCTTTCAGATCGAGGAAGATAGAAATGGTGGGTCTATGAAGGGGTGTTTAGGTTCTAAAAGTTGGCGGAGGGTGAAAATATGATCTACTTAACGCATGCACCCTTTGCGCGCGGCAGATAATGAACGGAGAACGATGCCCGCGAATAATTTAGAAGCAATGTAGATTAAACTACTTTCGCTATGGTTTGTCACCTTTCTCGTAAATGTGTAACTCGACCGATTCACACTATTCTGTTGGAACATGTTCCGTCTTCCAGATTGAGCAAAGGAGTTTCGTCAACTCCGAAACCAAGGCTAGACCTCCATCCCTAAAATCAAACGAAAATAGCCCGTCCGGACCGGAAGCCTTATACCTTTTGTTATCACCCACTTTCCTGGAAAGCACTATCTTAGATGGAGGACTGAAATCAACTGACAGCTATGAAAATGAAGCATTTGCTCTTGTCCGTGACCTCCATTAGTTAATGCTATTCGCCTAAGCTCGTCAATATCAATGGCCTCACCAAAATGAAGTTATGCTGCGTAAACACCCGGGTTTTAGCCTTCAACTAGGGATTATATGATTGATCATCCATCCGAAAGAAAATGTATTGAAAAGTAGGAATAAGAAAGGTCCGCCAGAAAAAACCGACGCGAAGGATATGCGATTTTTTCGGCAGGTTTCATGTTTCAGACCGGTTGGTTTGTGTGCAAGCGCCCATGATAGAAAGATCGGCTGAGCAAACAAAGCAACAGCGCCAAAGACAAGATATCGACAGATTAGGTTTGTGTGTGCTTGTCAAAGTCTCACGTGGCGTTCATAAACTGGCATATTCTATCCACATAAACGGTGGCGTGAACTCTGTACTCGATCTGAAAGTTGTCGCTATGTGTATCTAGCTGCTGAACCGAGGTCACGACCCAACCTGTATCAATATACGAAATACCACCTACACGCGTACACAAACATACATACATAAACACAGTTACATAAATCGAATTGTGTTCCAAACGCATGAGACAGTTTCTCGTATACGACGACCTAAAATGTCCACGAAGTTAAACAGACGCCAATGTACAAAGTTGGGTGGATCACGTGGTAGTAATAAACTAAATCCTAGTTTTCATGATGATTATACGTTACTTAATGTAAAGTTTGTTCCGAACGAATAGGTTTGCGTACATGTAAGCGCCAGAGAGATAGACAATGAATGCTTTGAATGAAGATCACTAATTTGCGCAGCCTATCACTGTTTCCCTGTTCCACCGAGGTATATGACTGATAATTCACATGTGATGTTTCACTTTTCATCCCACTAAACCCTAGGGGAGTTTCTACATCGCTACATTCTGTTAAACCCTAAGAAAGGTTAGATCAATGACTAAATTCTGATGTAACTAACAATTGTGAACAGAATGGAAATAGTGAAAACGGACAAAAATGGAAAAGACTAGTTCGAACGCACATGCGTTTCTATGGGAGAACGATATGTAACAACCCTTACTTAGATGTAGATCAGAAGAGAAACACAAGGATCGTAAAGAATGTCAAGGGTAAACCAATCGCATTCAACCGATCGATCGTTCTAAGTGTTTAATTCAATGAGATCAATCTATCGAAAATGCCACGCATGCACCGGAAAAGATTTGCATCGTGGAAAACGTTGAATATATGCTTGATTTACACCTATACACTGAAGTTGTCAATATGGGCGGCAAGCTGGTCTCTCCAGATGACCGGGAATTTCACGGGTTCCGAGTACTTTGGCATTCGAGTTAGATTATATACAGTCTAGAGACACCACATGGAGGAAAAGCTCAACATGACTAAGGGAGTCACTTTATTCGTTGCTCCGAAGACTTAATGGGAATTTATCAAGTCTATTCATATTGCAGAAGGAGCTGGTTGCAAAGAAGTATCAAAGTACTGTAATTTTCAGGCACTAAAATGGAAGACAGAAAGGTGGTACGGAGTTGCCAGATCACATGTTCAAACAACGAAGTCGCGAGCCCACTGTATTTGTTCGTTCAACAAACATTCAAATGTGATGAAAGAATGAGCACAAAGAACAGTTTACGAACAGATAAGTTACGTTCAATCTTTGTTTGGTGTATTACTCGCAAGTTTGCTGGTAGTAAAACAGATACGATGGTAAAAGAAAGAGGTGGCGCATTACGAGGAGCTTAAAACCGAAATTCTAGGAATCACTCATACGGCATATGCCTGCAATAAAACAATAAAACTGATCCACGAGTACAGCTATGGCCACGATTCACACTGGGCGGCGGTGATACAGTGATTTAGGTTATTATCACGTTGGCACGACGGCCGATTGTTCGATATCCATCACACTCGCCTAGCTACCCCGCTTCGTTGTACCCAACAGCGACCATCGGATTGCATGTTCCCCTCTTCTTGAAAATGGATGTTACCATCGTTTATTTCATGTGAGGAAGAGGAAATTATACGCAGGTTCGTAATACAAGGACTGTTAGAATAGGAAACACGTGATTCAAGCTTCGCCACATGCAAACTACTGGGCTTGAAGGTCTTCCCTATGGCACAAGAAAACATTGTGGTATTGTCAATAAAACAAGCAATATCGATTGTGGGGAACTGGGGAACAGCATACGATTCGTTCGAAGCGTCAGAATGACCGA